GAGAGTCGATCCTGAACATTTGTTCCATTTGGATAGGTTGGTTCGGTCCTCGACGAGGACATCGAGTCCTTAAAGTTGGGTGTACATGAGACCCGCTAATAGGCCTTGGGGCGGTCTGATGGTGGGCTGGGCCGAATGACCGAGACAGCAGCGGCACAATGGTGCGAGGCACTGCAGCTCGAGGTTTCTGATACTGTAGCACGCGGAACACTGTAGCTACGCGAGTTTAGTCCCACCTCGGAACCTGAGGGGCCGAACCAACTTAAAAATCTGAGTCCTGAGAGGCCGTTAACTTCGGTTCGAACCTTTTGCGCAAAGTGAGAATGAAAGCGTAAGAGAGTTAATTAGCATGTGTTGTTCATTCAACATGTAGAGTGGATCTTAGCCGTCTTCCCGGGCTGAGGCGTTACAAATGGTATCTGAGCCAACTCTCGCGGTTTCACGGACATATGGCTTAGGAGCTCGGACAGGCTGTGCATGGCTCTACAAGAGCATGGCACTTGGGCCGAGGAGCTGAGAATATGGACGTGGTCAAGAGAGTCGATCCTAGACATTTGTCCTATTTAGGTAGGTTGGTTCGACCCTCCTTAAGGGTGGGTGTATGTGAGACCCCACAATATGGGCCAAGTTGGGCCTGTCTGGTGGTGATGTGAGCTACTGTAGCTTCGTGGAACACTGTAGCTACGAAAATTAGTACCACCTCGGAACCCGATGAGTCTGAACCAACTTAAAAGCCCGAGCTCTGGGAGACTGTTAACTTCAGTTTGAATTTTTTGCGCGAAGCGAGAACGAAAGCGCAAGAGAGTTAATTAGCAAGTATAGTTTATTCAACCTGTAGAGTGGATCTTAGCCGCAACCACCAGCGAGCACTCCTTGGATATGCTTGGGTGATTTCAATTTGATTTGTGATGCACGGGACAAAAACAACATCAACCGAAGACAAATGAGAATTCAGACAGGCGTTGGATGCTAGCGAGCTTTTGGAAATCAAGTTGCAAAATGGGAGATACACATGGAGCAATGGACAGCGGAATCCAACCCTTGTACACCTAGATCGAGTATTTTGTAACAAGGAATGGGATGATCTCTTCTCGGGATACATATTGCAAGCACTCTCAAGTTCACTGTCCAATCAATGTCCTCTATTCTTATGCAACCAGCAGCAACCGCACAGAATGGCAACCTTCCGTTTTGATATTTTTGGACCCGAGCCCCGGACTTCAATGATGTGGTACAGGCTGCTTGGTTCATTTTTATGTGATTAAGATGTCATGTGCTTTTGTAGAACGTGACATTTTTACGTGATCCATATGTCTGTGTAACAAGTATACATGATAAGATATCACTCTTTCTTGATCCTAGCTTGACTACTTGTTTTTTTTATGACACATGTAGACGTGTATATGATGACTAACATGTATACAATCTCCTTTGTTTCCTATATTTTCAGTGAAAATGAACTGATTTTTATGAAATTTCTTACATAATTCCTGTGAATTCTTGCGTTTGAAGGGGGGCCCTACGTGTCTATAACTTCTGCTTGGAACGTCACATATGTAGTTGAAAGCATGCACTTCATGATGGATCAAACACGCCATGAATTTCCCGATTAACGTTATGTGGTACTCCCTCCGTTCCAAATTATAAGTCGCTTTGACTTCTTTTTTTTACATCCATTTTACTATGCATCTACATAAATAATATGTCTTGATATATAGCAAAATGGATGAACCAAAAAAGTCAAAGCGACTTATGATTTGGAATAGAGGGAGTACATTGTATATTTGTGACGCACATGCGAATCAACACAAAAAAAAAAACAGGTTACAAGGCTTAATAAGATTGGTGTCTATCAAATCAAGGAGTTTGTTGCCTTGGGAAATAATCCGGTCAGGCCATGATCCACACGTAGGGGGCGGACCTATTTAATGTCTATTGAGGGCAGTGGCCGCCACTCAAAATTTGCTAAGAGTGGTTGTGGATTATTTTGCACCATTGGTCCGTCACACAGAAATGGAAAGTTCACCTGATAATCATCTTAAGTGTGCCAGCGGTCGCTTTTCTCTTGGGTCCGCCCCTATCCACACGTGTGGCACGCATCAAATTGAAAGGACGGTGCATGATTTTTTTCTCTAGTTTGTTTCCTTGTTATGTTAAGTATTTATAAGTGTTTCATCTATTCTAAAATCAAGGGCTATGATTCATTTAAGCTCTTACTCCCTCTCAAGGGGTAATGGGAGTACCTTATTGCTATGGTACTCCAAAGCAGGCCCGGTCCTGTCGGTTCAGAGACCTGGAGCGAAGCTAGGAAGGTGGGCCCTTTAATACAACTCCAAAAAATTATTCGCTGCCCTAGTTAACATCATATCCTGACTCCGTAAGGATTCCTAAATCCCTGTATTCTAATGAAAAAGATTGGGGTAAAAAGCAAATTAAATCTTGATTAAATATATATACTTGGCATACATCAATCAAAGGGGAGCAATTATTGGGTACCTCCGTACGAAACTTTGGATGTCTTGTCTACGACTGCCCTAGTGCCTGAACAGAGAGTGGGCTGGGCGCCGCCGGCCAGCAGCCGCGCGCTGGTTGCTCCACGACGTAGGGGCGCACGACCGATCGACGATGGCACAAGCACAACGCGCAGTCGTTGGTCGCAGCGGAGCAGCCGCGCGGCAGAAGGGCGGAACTCGATGCGCCGACGCGGAAGCCAAAACGATGGACGCGTTTTACTTTCATGTACGTGCCTCTCCGTATCCTGCGCTCCTGGCTTTCCTATGGGCTATTGGGCTCTTATACCTACAGCTTACGTATATGGGGTTGGGGCCCCTTGAACTCGAGGGCCCTGTGCCACGCACTGCTCGAACCCCCCAGGGCCAGGGCTGCTCCAAAGTAGTTGTGGACCAATGATCTAGATGACAATTATCACCTATTGCCTCTTATATAGGAGATAATAGGAGAAATATATAATAAATTGGAAAAACATCTTCCTATTACAACTAATGTGCATGTATGATTCTATTTGATTTAACACGACATGTGGGTTGAGATATACTCAAGTACGTAACCGGCGAGTATGTTTCTTCTAACGCTAAGCCAAATAAATGAAGCATACATGTTCCAAGAAAGAAAAAAATCGATGCCCTCGGTTTTATAAACAAGATTAAGAAAAAGAGATAAGGAACTGCCCTAGGCTTTTGCTAAAGAGTTCGGTTATCACGCACAAGTTGGTCATCCCCCTTGACCATATGTACTATCCTCAACGCTAGTTCCGCAGTCGGTCACATTGTCCATTGATGAGTCAACATGATGCAGTGGCGGAATTAGGTGGCCAGTAGGGGCGGTGCCCCCCTCCCCCCCAAATCCAGTGATTTTTTTAAAACATCCCTATAAATATTTCAATTTACAGCATAACAAGGTATCAAATTATCCATTTTTATCATAATATTATGATTTTTTTATAAATACCAACTATATATATGTAAAAATATTAAAAAATTTTGAGACGTATACTTCTGTATATATTTATCACATTTAAATGTGTCGTCATATTGGTCTGACCTCCTTAATCAAAATTGCTGGTTCCGCCACTGACGGCATGGATGATCTGGTAGTGTGAGGAAGCGCTAAATCGCACCTAGTATTGGGTACAACGATATACGGAGTAATATGGCAAAGGAAGTTGGGAGGACAAACTGCACTAGAGTCTTCTGTGTATCATGGCTCTGCAGTACGTGTTCGGCGCTTGCTCGCAGTCGCAGCACCAGAGCAGATTGTATTACGGGCCTGTTATGTTTGGTCGTTGCCATGGCGTTTGCCTAGCTAGACAACAACACCCAAAAACGCCCAAACCATCAAAAAATAAACGTCTCAGGCAAGGCAGCATCCGTCCTCGGTCGGGTCCAAACCCAATCGGCCACGCACGCACGCATATCGGTTGGAGTGAATTTGATAAGCTGCCGTGGTGACATTGTGCAGGGCTGTGCAGACTGAAGACATCAGAGGGCCCAGCGGTGGTGGGCTTTGTGGCACGGCCACACGAGCACCTGATGCTGCTCAGCTACGGCCGCAAGTGTCCATTCATGAGGCGGTGCACGGTAGGCCAAGAGAGGCCACGCCCCCCAAACAGCGACATCTTCTTCTCCCTCCCCTTGTCTCTCTCTGAGAAAAAGAAAAGAGAGGAGAAAATGGCGACATTTAGCTATCTAATAGTGACTGGTGCCTGCCAATTGGCAAGCGAATAATAAATTGCAAACAAGGCGTGCTTGGACTGGATTATTCGGACCGGAGAAGAGAAGGCAACGTTTTTTTTTAATTTCTTCAAAAGAATTACAGCTCAGCTGGAACTACTGTAATAACTATGGCAGCCAGCCTGAAGGTGAAGGATTTTGAATTTGGGACGGATCAACTACCCAAGAACAACACAGACATATACTCCTCCAATGCAGCATACTACCATGCCCTGTTCATTTGGACTTGTTTGGCTGATAAGCCATGGCTGAAAGTACTATTGACTGATTTGGTGTGAGAGAAAAATATTATTCGCTTATCGAAAAAGTACGGCTTATAAGCTAAACAAAACCAAACGAATAGAACGCGATTTGCCACCAAACAAACAGGGCGAAGGTCATCGAGTTGACACGTTATGGCGTGTAAAGTCGGGCCCATCGTAGTAAACGGAAATACAGAAAAGGGCTATAGGAGGAGCACTGCAAAACAAAGAAGCATGCCACCTCTCGCCATGCGAAAATTTATAAAGTCCAAGAAAGACGCGCCCCTGCTAGTCTGCTCTCTGCACCAGAACCATCCCAGCCTGCCACCTCATCAACGCCAACCACCTCAAGAACCTCTCGCCACCTCATCAACGCCAACGACCACCCTACGGCGACGCGCCACTGCTACTCTGCTCCAGAACCTTCCAGCCTGCTGCCTGCTGGCTGCTGCTCCTCCACCTCACCTTCCACCCCCGATCCCCTGCGAGCTGCGGCCATGGACCTACGATGGCTGCCGTGGGCCAGGCGCCAGGCGGCCGCGTACCTGGCCGCGGCAGGCGGGGGCGACGACGGGTGTCCGCGGTCCGCGTCGTCGTCTGCTTCCTCGCCATGGCGCTCACCACAGCGGCGTGGGCGGTGCTCATGCTGCTGCTCCTGCCGTGGCCCTCCCAGCGCATCCGACAGAGCAACGTCTACGGCCACGTCACCGGACGCATGCTGGTACGTCACTACGTCCTGCGTGCTTTCGCTTGGCTTCGCCTACATCTATCTACATTGTGGCGATCCGCGATCGACAATCCTTTTGCTCGGTTTCACGATTGTCATTTATTTTGTACTACTATATTTTTTTTTTCAGTCATAATAATACCGGATAAGAGTTTCTTGAATGTGCACGAACACTGAGATTTCGAAATTCAAAACACAATTTTCTAACGACTTTGGACGTTCACATGAACTCTACCAAAGTCATTTAAAAATTCTGAATTTTGAATTTCCAAATGGAGAAAATAAAATAAATATTCAAGACTCTAAATGACTTTAAGTAAAAAAAATTATCTACAAAGCTATAAGTCACATTGATAACAACAACTTTTGTAAAGATCATGTCTACGTCTGATGTGGTTCGAAAATTCTAATTTTTGAATTTTAAAATCTGATAACTTATAAAATTTGATACTCTAAATAATTTTTGAAATAAAAAACTCATTATAACTATAAATTTGTAGATCCTGTTGAGGTTTATAATTTTAGGGAAAATTGTCTGGCGGACATCCAAAGTGATGGTCGTGTGCTTGTGTCAAAATCCTCTCTTTCATGGGGCACCCTGCTTCCCCTTTTATAGGCAAAGGGAAAGCGCGGGTTACAGAGGAGAAAAAGGAGAACGAGAGAGAAGAAGGCTGTCAGGGTTGCCGGGTCCTTCTCCTTTATGCGGGTCTCGCCGATCCTGTAGATGTCAATAGGGACGGCTACATGTTGCGGCCCTGTTCGTCACTGGCGCCATGCGCAGGCGTCATCTGTCAGTCATGGCGTTCCACTTCGTCCCGGCGGACGTCGTGGTGAACTGACGCGCCTGTCAGCGTCCATACGAGGATTAGACAGAACAGCACCGGCCCGTCCGATACTGTTCTTGATGTGAATCCCCAGGTATGGCCCGTCATGGCCACGGGTTACATCGAGGCGTGCCAACCTCTTCCCTGGCGTCAGAGTTTTGACCCAGGCCCATACGCTTGGACCTGGAGTGGTTGACGGCGGTATAGGTCCCCGTCGGACAAGACGGAACCCGCGTCCTTGAGGTCGGGCAAGACGGAGCCCGCGACCTTGGACGAGATGGAAACCGCGACGAGATGGAAACCGCGTCCTTAGGGTCGGACGAGACGGAGCCCGCACTCAAGGTGTCGGGAGAGATGGAGTCCGCGGCCTCGAGGTCGGGCAAGACGGAGCCCGCAGCCTCGAGGTCGGGCGAGACGGAGCTCGCGGCCTTGGGCAAGACGAAGCCCGCATCCAAGGGGTCGAGCGAGACGGAGCCCGCGGCCTTGGGATCAGGTAAGATCTTTTAATACGTCTCGAGCCATCCGGGGAAGTCAGCGTGGACGCTAACTTCCTTGCTTTGGGTATCCCTAATATCGATACCCGACACGATTAAAGTAGTGTCTATCGTTAAATACCTATAGTAAATTATAAAAAGAAAGTCCGTGCGTTCCAAACTTGACAAATATTTCCTAGCACATGACAATACTCTCTTTAACAAGCAGGAATCCCTGCCTCCTCCGCCCTCCGCCCATTGTTCACTTTTTTATTTTTGTTTTTTTTAGTTTTTTATTGAGTAAAGTACACCAGCGGTCTCTAAACTTGTACCGCTGTGTCATCCCGGTCCCTAAACTCGTAAATCGACCGTTTAGTTTCTTAAACTTGTTCATCTGTGTCATCTCGGTCCCTAAACTTGTTCGGCTGTGTCATCCCGGTCCCTGAACTTGTAAATCACCCGTTTAGGTCCTCAAACTTGTTCAGTTGTGTCATCCCGGTCCCTAAACTTGGTTTTGAGTCTCATCTGGGTAAAAACAGGGTGATGTAAAAACTTTATATCAAAAAATATTTCATAACTTTTTCATATGAACTCGAACAAAGACAACCTTTTATATCAAAATTATAGCCCTCGACGCGATCTACGACTTTGTAGTTGAAAAGTTTTTAAATTAAAACTGTTTAGGGTCCAAAAATATTATTGTATGTTTATAGATTTTGAAATTTAAAATTTAAAATTATCAAACAATCATGGATATTGATATAGTCTATATGAAAGTTATAGTTCTCAATACGATCTACAACTTTGTACTTGAAAAGTTTTTTGTTTGAAAAGTTTTTTTTTCAGAGACATACAGGATATTGCGATTTTTTTAATGACACACAGGGAATTCCTCTATTTTTTTTCCAGGCAGGAATCCTTGCCTCCTCCGCCTCTGCACTGTTCACTTTGTTTTTTTTTATTTTTAGGAATCCCGGCCTCCTTCGCCCTCTACCCACTGTTCACTTTTTATTTATTTTTTATTTTTTTGTTTTATTTTTTTTTCCGCCCTTTTCCCTTTTCTTCTTTTTTACGGGGTTTTTTCCTTTTTTTATTTTCCTCTTAAAAAACACGTGCAATGGGCGCACTATTTTTTTAGTTTTTTTATTTTTTATTTTTCCCCTTTTCTCTTTTCTTCTTTTTATGGTGTTTTTTCTTTTTCCCTTCTTTTTATTCTTCCCCTTCAAAAAAACACGTGCAACGGGGCACGCAGCAGAGCCTGTGTGCTGTGCTAGATTTTTTAGGTAAGCAAGTTGTAGCACATCTTTTGACTTGCGAGTTTTGCAGCTGTGGATCCTGGGGAACCCAATCAAAGTGGAAGGCGCCGAGCACCTCAACACGAGGGGATCTTCATCTGCAACCACGCGTCGCCGCTGGACATCTTTCCTCGTCATGTGGCTCGCACCCACTGGTACCGTCGGAATCGCCAAAAAGGAGGTCAGGACTCAGGCCACGACATACACTGATCCACGCACATGTAGCTAGCGTCCCTCGACCAATGACTTGCCTGGCTGGCTGCCTTCTGTCACACAGATCATCTGGTACCCGCTGTTCGGGCAGCTCTACGTGCTGGCTAACCACCTGCGCATCGACCGCTCCAACCCTGCCGCTGCAATCCACTCCATGAAACAGGTATACTCCTAGGCTGGGACAGTGTCTGCGATCTCCATTCTCCTCTCCGCTGCATTCTCGTGTCTTGTGTGTTGTGTTTGTGTCCTTGAGCCGTGTTGTTGCATTGTCCGCAGGTCGCCCGTGCAGTGGTCAAGAACAACCTGTCCCTCATCTTGTTCCCGGAGGGCACACGATCCAAGAACGGCAGGCTGCTGCCCTTCATGAAGGGGTTCGTGCACGCCGCCCTGCAGACGGGGCTGCCCGTCGTCCCCATCGTGGTGACCGGCACGCACCTGGCCTGGAGGAACAACAGCCTGCGGGTGCGGCCGGTGCCGCTCACCGTCAAGGTCCTGCCGCCGATCGGGACCGCCGGCTGGGAAGAGGCGCGGGTCGACGAGCACGTGGAGGCGGTGCGATCGCTGTACGCCTGCAACCTCCCCGACGCGCAGAAGCCGCTGGATGCTCTGGCCGCCCGGAAGAGCGACTGATTTGTCACCGCCCTGATGAGGATTCTTGCAAGCAGTGTTGAACGGTGATGAGTACATAGTCAAGCACTGTTGAATGGTGATGAGTACATACTTTTTGCGCACAGCATAGAAACTTCTGTGGAAAATATGTAACATTTCAGCTGAAACCCATGTGGTAATTGGTAAGGTGACAAAATTTACACAGGGAACGCTGAACTGTAGGTAAATCTGTTATACTTCTTTGGATCATCTAGTAGTGGATCCAGTGGGTGAGTTCTTTTCTATTTGGGATAACTAGTGATTTAGAGATTCAGAGGGAGTAAGAGACAGAGAGAGAGAAAGGGAAATGTAGGAACATCTAACCGTCGGAGGGGTTGGAGGAGCTCCCTGCCTTCGGCTAGTTCGCCGGTGATGATCTGCGCTAGGCAGCGACGGTCGGAGAAGAGAGAGCGATGCAGTGAAGACCGTGGTGGCGCAGTGCAGTGGCGGCGGCGGTGCTTCCCGTCACTGGCTGCGCCCCTCTGTTAGATCGGAGTAGGGTTTCTTGGTGGGGCGTACGGCTCAGACGAACCTCGTACAGAGAGCCGTCGACCCCACCTCTATTTAATGCGCAGTGTGACGGGGGCCCGCCAGCCATAGATGGACTGGGCGCCCCCGATCAGGGCGCGAGGTCAAGGCCCAAGTGGCCGTTGGGCCACTGTGGTTGGGAGATCAAACCAACATTCTCCCCCTTGATCTCAACTCATACTTTAACTTTAAACTTTGACTTTAATCATTTTCACTTTTATTTGTTCCATCACAGATTAGTGCATAGAGCATGCTTCATCGTCACGGTCAATTGCCGATAGACTTAACAGCTACAATACACATCTCTGTTCTGAAACAGATTCTTTAACTTTGGGCCCTTTGTTGTCCGGAAATCATAGGCTATACCATAAACCCATGTCGACTGTGTGTTCTCCAAACACACTGGGTGGTAAGCCTTTTGTACGCGGATCCGCAAGCACTTGCTTGTTACTTATATGTTCAATACTTTTAGTATGATTCCGGACTTTCTCCTTCACAACGTACAACTTTAATGTCAATGTGTTTGGCAGCACACTTGACCCGTTGTTATAGGAGCGAACTACTTAAATGGTTATTGCTGTTACATACCATTATCAATTCCGGGTGTAAGTTCTTTTAACCACTTCGCCTGTCCTTTAAGCCTCATATCAAGCTATACGGTGGGTATGCATCCTTGATGACACCACAACTGTTTCTTTGGAGCTTTTCCACAATAAAACTCCAACTGCGAGTGTTAGCTACTATGTGGGTTTCACTAAACATCTCGCCAAAATTTAACATTTGTACCCACAACTATTTGAGAGTACTTATTCTTTCTTACTCACCATGAGGCTTACAAATCTTTGCACAATTGCAAAACATTCTCATCTCCATTCCAAGTGATCTATATCGAATTTGGACTTACGCTTAAAATATCCCGGATACATGAACTATGTCAGGGTAAGTTCTTGCTTATAAGCATTCATTAAGCTTCCAACAGCTGAAGCATATAGGACGTCCTTTTTAATCGATCTCACATTTATTCTTGAAACACTGAAAGTTTCGAAAACTATTACCCTTGACTATAGGAACAGGCGCAGGTTTATTCACATATATACTTTATTTCTTTAGAATCTTCTCTAAGTATACACTTGAGATAGTTCTAATACCCCTTTTCCTTTTATCTCGGTAAGTTCCAATTCCTGGAACGAATGATGCTTTACCAAGACCATTCTCATTGAAACTTGAGGACAAGAACTGTTTCTTCTCCAACAGTAGATTAACACCACTACTAGCGAGTAAGGTGCTACCCACATGCAGGATTAGGAAAATAAATTTCCCATGTTTAAACTTTGCATAAATACAATTGTCCTCTACATTCTCTTTAAAACCCAAACTTTCTTATTGTACTGTCAAACTTCAAGAACCACTGCCTTGAAACTTGCTTTAATCCATAAATGGATTTCTTTAGGCAACATCCCTTTACGTTCTTTTCCTTCCACGACAAAACCTTTTGAGTTATGCCATGTAAACGTTTCCATACAAATCCTCGTTGAGGAATGTGTCTTTACATCCTACGATGTAAGCGTAAATCGTAATGTGCCACTAATACCATTATGATTATAAAAGAATCCTTGCAAGCTTATTATAATATATTCCTTCTCTTTGTGTAAATCATTTCGCCACAAGTGGCGCTTTATAGCTTTTCATATTTCCTTTGAGTCACCTTTGTCTTGTAGACCCATTATAGCTCTTGTTTTGGCTCCATTAGAAATTTCTTCTTAGTCACCAGAAATATCTGATTTTCTTATTCTTTGAGACCTTCTAGGGCCTCGTGGCACTTCTTTCATATGGGGCTATTGTTACTCTTCATTGCCAAAAGGCAATTGTTCTATAGCCTCCTGTATCACAAGATCCTTGTTTACTTATTCATCCTCTTTAAGAGCTAACGTCTGGTGTTGTATATGTCATACAACATCAACATGTATTAAGCAATTTGTTGCTCTAAACACTGTAGTGGATATGTAATCCCACTTCTATTCAAGCTTTAGGTATCTACATACCATGCTCCCCCAGATTACTCCATCTTCAGTAAAGATGGTGTATCTTCAAATTTCTTATTTTGGGGTTTAATCTGCTAAAAACTCATATGGCGTCATCCAGTATAAATACTAGCTGACTATGCTATCTTCCTATCGGAACTGTAAAATGTCTAGGAATTTAGCTATTTCTTTACTTTAGGGGTATCATAATTATGACCGTCTTACTCCCTCAACGATCACATTCATCTTTTATAGATCACTTTGACCTTCAATGCATAGTGTGCATTGCTTATCTGAAGTATGGGGAAGTATCTTTCTTAATCTTACATTTCTCCCCCTCGAAATGTGGTATGAACTTTTCTACCACAATTTCGAAACATTCAGAACTCTTGTGAATGAGGAAACTTTGATTACTTACTTCATCCACATGATTGCAGCATGCAAACAAAATTCGTATGGGAGTACATTTTCCTCATTACACTTCAAAACTCAACATAGTCTATTATTATCAATACTTCTGCAAGTCATGCTTGCATATCATTCTTATCTTTTGATTCACATGCAACTTTCTTTTGTTCTTAAACTCATTGAGTACTTAATGACCATGACACAATCAGAGTGTACGGTCAATACTAGGATAGCATAAAAGCTACCTCAAACTTCTCTCCATGTGCGAGATATACTTAGAGCACATGAGTCATCACATCCTTCTCCCGCCATGCGGGATAAGTACTATGCCAAACTCTCCCGTCATGCAGGATTGGTTAACATATGTACTATGCCAACTTTACCCCGTCATACGGGTATTTTCTCAAACTTTTCCCGCCATGTGGGTACTATCATAAACTTTTTCCCGCCATGCGAGATATTCCTTTGAACGGACATAATTGCCAGGACTAGCTCGTGTTCAATCATCAAATTCAGAAATAAATCCGAATATTCTTTTAACACACATGTTTAATCCAATGTTAGTCAAATTAAACATGTATATGACTTTTACAACTCTCATAAGTGAAACTGAAAATAAATTCTTCTCCACAGAGAGTACATAAAAGACATTTCTCAATGAAGACTCTCATTGATCCTTTTTTTTTTCTTGGATCAATATCCTAGAATTCTTTTCTTTTGAAGCCATTCTTTAAAGAGAACACAGTCCCTTAACCAATGGCATTTTTTCATACATAACTTGCCCTTAGACATTTCATCATCTGAGTCACAAGTACGCAGCTCATTTATCTTTCTGCCTTCAAGAATGAAAGCATGTAGGTCTTTTGTCTGAAAAATATTCAACAATAATGCTCATTAAACTTTGAAAACTTTATGTTCTATTCTATATCACCGTTGGGCAGAAATAGAATAAAACATCATTCTTCTACATTAATTCCACATCACCGTTGGGCAGAAATGGAATTAACGTATAGAAATTTAATAATCTTAAAAGCATAGAACTGCTCCTCAAAATTAAATTCTCCCGTTGGTTCGAATTTAATTAGAAGACAATCAACTTCATTGCAGCGGAAAATACATTTCTCTAGTTTAAGAGCATTCCTTGATCTTTATCTTTTTTTTTTCTGAAAAATTGGTCACTTTGATGCAAAATTCATCAGAGATTTAAACTTTAAACATAAAACTCATAGAATTATAATATTGTTATCATCAACGTTGGTCAGAAAATAACAATATCATAATTCAACTTTAAGCTTAAACTCATAAATAAACTTATAATATTGTTATCATCAACGTTGGTCAGAAAATAACAATATTATAATTTATCTTAACTATCAACCGACTATTCCTCCAATTAAAATTTTCCAGCTGATTCTAATTTTAACTGGAGGATAAACTTTTCATCATTTACTGAATAACTATAACTACTCTTCAAATTAGAAGACAATAAACCTTCAACTTTGCAGCGGAAACTTGACAAAATTTCTTTTCCTACTTTTCAGAAGCATTTTTACTTTACTCATCTGTTCTCTAAACAAATTATCACGTTGGATCAAATTTGAGTAGAGATAAAACATTTAAACTTAACTTTATTCATTCAAAATAGCTTCTGAAAATAAATAAAACAATTCTTAATAACCATTGTGCATTCGCCCAACCGGAGAATCTGCCGGGCTCATTCTTTTTTCTTTTCTCGGCCCAAGGCAGAGAGAGGTCGGTTTCGGCCCAAACGCAACATCCGGCCGGCCTTGCTCCCTCGGCTGCGCGTGCTTTCGCCACCCAGGCCATAGCGTGGGCTGGGCGGCAAAGCGCATGTGACGCGCGCCCTTTGGGCCGCGAAGCGACTCGCTAGATCTCGGCCGTCCGTGCGCATCCGACGGCTTCATGAGCGATCTTGGGCGCGAACAAAACCACCGCCTGACGCCGCCTCAGTAACCCTAGCTTCATTCTCTCCCTCCCTTCTCTCTCATCCGCGCCGAAAGAGTAGCAAAGCAATGACCGCTTGTTGGCGTCAGAGGAGGAAGTGGAGGTGGCGGCGCGCCACAGCACTCTCGCCGGCCGTGGCAGCGTGCGGCTAGAGCATGCTGCATGCACTGCCGAGGAGAGCCACGGTGGTGCCCTTTGAGGCAGACCGAGCCAGCGGTGGCGTAGCTTCGGCCGTCTTCCCCTGACGCCGGCGAGAAAGTCTCTTTTTCCAGACGGTGGCGATGCCGACGGCGGGATAAAGGCCCAGTAGGACCACGTGTTCGTTCTCATCTTTCTTTGGGATTTGGGGATTCTAGGGTTAGGGTTTGGGTTAGGATTCACCCTTTTCTTCTTCGTCCCCAGTCTGCAGCGGGTTAGGGTTCGGATCAGCGATCTTGAAGCCGAGCCCTTCCGTCTTCACCCGGCTAGGGTTTGGGGTTCGATGAACCCTTTGTTTTCTTCTCTTCGATCCGAATCGGATCTAGCTCCGTTCTTTTCTTTGTTGTTATCTTGATTCTCTTCCCACGCGTCGCCTAGCCGACAAGATGGTACTCCATCCGCGTGAGTGAGGTGTAGTGACGGCAATGGGAGGCCTCGTAAGACTTCCCCAACCGCCCGTCCATTTCTTTTTCCCTTCGTTAGGGTTAGGGGTTATGGGTACCCTCCCTTTCTCTCTATTCTTTGCTAGGATTAGGGTTTCTACTTCTTCCGATTTAAAACCGTTCATCTTCCCCACGCGGTTCTTCGTTCTTTGTCTAGATCCGAACGGATCTAGACCATCTTCTTTTCTAATCGATTTCTAGCCTGACAAGATCCACGCCTAGGTAAAACGCGGCTCGATACCATTGTTATACTTCTTTGGATCATCTAGTAGTGGATCCAGTGGGTGAGTTCTTTTCTATTTGGGATAACTAGTGATTTAGAGATTCAGAGGGAGTAAGAGACAGAGAGAGAGAAAGGGAAATGTAGGAACATCTAACCGTCGGAGGGTTGGAGGAGCTCCCGCCTTGGCTAGTTCAGCCAGTGATGATCTGCGCTAGGCGACGACGGTCGGAGAAAGAGAGCGATGTGATGAAGACCGTGGTGGCGCTTGATCTGCGATGGCGGCGGTGCTTCCCGTCCTTTCGGGCTGCGCCCCTCTGTTAGATCGGAGTAGGGTTTCTTGGGGGGACTGGCTCGCACAGAACCTCGTCTGAGAGCCGTCGACCCCACCTCTATTTAATCTTGTGATGTGACGGGGCCCGCTTGACCATAGATGGATGGGCGCCCCGATCGGGCGAGGTCAAGGCCCAAGTGGCCGTTGGGCCACTGTGGTTGGGAGATCAAACCAACAAAATCTTTTACCAATGCGACAATAATGCAGGTCCTGTTATACAACTGGGAAGAGAAGAACAGTAGTGGAAGTGTTGAACATATTGATGTTAGGCAGGGCGCAGGGCCGGTTCGGCTCTGTCCACTGTAGGTTCATCCAATCCAACTGAGGATTGAAGCATTCTCTTCTTCTAAACAAGATCCATCGTAGGAGCATGATGTATACACAGGTCAAATGTGGGTCATCCTAGTTCTTCAGCAAACTAAGTGGAAGACTGTTTAATCATGGAGTCTCTTTCCCACTGGAAAAGGCCAGACTTCTCAACATCATCTAGGGACAACACCGGGAACTCTGACAGGCAGGAACTGAAGGCATTGGAAAATAGGACCAGGAGGCTTCGGCAGGCCTGCTCTTCTTCCAGGCGCTCCATCTCGGTGCGCTGCAAAGCAGAATCCTTCCAGGGTTGATAGTAATGCCTGAGATTGTATAAACACGATTAATTCAATGATATGCAGATATCCAGCGCTTATGTCATCATAAGAGAAGCATATAAAAACTTAAAATATTCTAAGCCCATACCATCTCCATGCAGGATTAGATTCAGTCGGGCAGTGTATCTTTGAGCAAAGCATTTCCATTTTCCCACGGTTGTTGGCCAGGTGTTTGTTCACTGTTTCATCAAAGAAGTAAAAAAAGAGTGAGATGCTTCATTATTCCAGTAGAGAGATAAGAGCACAAAGGCACTACATGTTTGCAATTGTAACACAAGAAATTATCCTAAAATTGATAGATTAATTTAGGTGCATTGAAGCTCTTCATGATCAGCATCAGAATGCAGCAAAGTCCAGTGTACCTTGCTTACTGGATCTGTCAAGAAGCAACAAGCAAAGGGCTGTAACAACTGATGGCAAGGAATCACTGTTCTTTGCCACATGGTCTTGAAGGTACAGTATAATGACAGCTAGAGTATCATTTGCACTGCAACTCGTTGCCGTTTCAACCCTTTCACATGCATCGTCCAAGAAAGACCTAAGAGTTTCAAGACTTCTGGTGCTCCGTGCAAGATCTACACTCTTTCCATGAGAGATGCTAGATATCTTTCCAAGTATTACAGAAGCAGCTAACAAGCGCAAAATCTTCGAAAGTAGAGAATCATTTCTTGGTGGCTCTTTGCAGGATATTTCCAACAGAGATCTTTGGTTGGAGTACAGCCAGAAGATGCTTGAAGTTGCCCAAGAAACAACCATTGAAATTCTTGACTTATCCTGTGAAACAAAATAAAGATTTACATATAACATTTCTTATAATACTTGGTCAGACAACACATTGACAATGGTAAAAATGTGATTTTAGTGGCTTGTGAAATAAAGGCAGTGCAAGAACAAAGTACCATTTCAGATAAAATTGGTATAGGACCATTCATCAGAATTGCATCGATACAAAGTTCCATTGCAAGCTTATGCTCTGTACTTCTTGAGCTACCACCAATAGCTTGGCACAGATTAAATACACCATGGAGGGACAAGGTAAAATGCGGTTGGTATATCTTCCTTTTCATAGACAACCTCATTGTTGATGTAATCACACTTAGCACTGAAGTCAACAAGCAAGCATTTCCTTTCAATAATTTGGCATTGTTAATTAGGAGGACAAAAAGGTATGATGATATTGCCGAGAGCTGCTCAAGGGCAGTTTCTTGGAGCCAATCTGTGATTAATCTTGATGATATCAAACCATTGACTACCTGAAGAAAGCAAATAAAGTTATAGGATTAGTGACCAAAAAAACAGCTTCACAAAAATGCTACAGAGCAAATACATCCATAACGCTACCAAAAAATAATATTTATAGAGAATGTCGCACCAATAAGATGTCAAAGTTGACCTCTGATGGAGGATTTATGTCACACCAAGGAAAAATATACACAGGAACTAGTCAGTCAAACATTTTTATCCATCAATTCTAGCATTCAGATGAACAACGCTACAACCAACAACAATAGCCGTTTGTGCCAAAACTATCCCTTTATAAATAATCTAAGCAAATGTGGGTTTCAGCAAATGCTTGCTAGACAAAACTGCTCAGAACTATATTATAGAATAGTTGATTTTAACCTAGATATGGAGCTGATGCACCAATAATGTCTATAAACCCATTATTAATTAGACTATGATTGCAAAAATTCCATCTGTTCCATCTCTAACATGATGAACTTCCTCAAGGCTGTTTATTACAGTGAGTTTGACTAAATGCAAAACAAGTATCAAAATAACAGATCAATATGTCCTACATAATATACCAAACAGTACACAAACCAGTTATATGCTTTAAAAATGATATTATGGTCCTCATGTTCAACAGAACTTTCATGAAACAGTTGATCCGTTGCCAGTTGCAGCCAAAGACTAAATGCAGAAAAGATGAAAAATCACGTGCTCTATTTTTTTTCCTTCTGAAGGGTGTGCACTATAGCAGAAAGTAATTTATAACAGTGTTTTACCTCCAATGCTAACTCAGTTACTCTAGACCAGGAGCTTTCAGAACCATCAGACCCTTCACTACGGACTGAAATAACAGACAATAACCACAACAGAATGCCAGACTCTTTTACTAGATGATGAGCTAGAACTGGCAGCTTGACACATTTCTTCAGCACCTACAATGCAAAGCATATCAAATATAAATAAATAAATAAATATTCAAATCTCCAAGCAACTATCAGATCCAAGAAGTCAACTGGACTAAATAAGATAACTACAAAATTTACCTTAAGGACTAAAACCTTCGATTCAAAATCTGAAACAGGTGAAGAACAGAAGGCAAGAACAAGCTCTAAGACTCTTCCTCTCTTGTATATTTTAGCATCATCAGCTAGATTTGATCCAGCAGATAATAACCGAAGCATCCACAAACGTTCAGCTTTAAAATGCACAGAACTGCTCTGCAATAAGGTTGGAAATAACGGAATGCTCTGCAACAAAAAGGACAATAATATTACTAAAATTCAATACCTCTGATTACACACTCTGAGATAATGGTTACCTGCAGACTGACAGAAGTGGAATGCATTAAAAAATTTCTAATGACAGTAAATTGAGCGTGTGAGCCATCCAGTAGCGTCAAAGATGCTTCTGCAGCAAAAACAGCAATAATGGAAGGTATCTTCTGCCACTGTTCGGATATCCCATTCTGAAGGTATGTCAGAAGGAGCTGAAGCTGCCATGTTTCCTTGCTTCTCTGAGCATACTGTAAATATGTAAAAGTACATTTTAAGTGGTTGGATATTTCAAGAAAATAACAGACACGTTTCACACAGAAGGATAAAGGATCACAAATACAGAATACCATACAAGTGCCTTTTGCACTCAGATCTATATGTCATAAAAATACTCCCAGAATGTCAATAAGCATAATCTTTATGCTGTCATTCAAGTTAAATAAGCATAAAAGCCATCACACATGAATAACATTTAAAAAATGTAAACAATAGGAATTTCAACATACTTAAATAAGCATATAAACATTCTAACAAATGCTAGAATTTGAACATACTGATACAAGCATGTATATTAATCAACAATATGTTCGCTAAGCAAAGATAAGTTGTAACATAGAAAATTCAATATAAGCAGATAGGAGTAGTTGATAAGTATATAAACCAATTGAGACAACAGGTAAAATTTAGAGATTCATGAAACAGCAGGTACCTCAAGGGATTTTTTGAATGTTCCTAGGCACTCATAGCCCAACATCCTTAATTCATGATCAGGAGATGCTATACTAACAAGTGTGATTGCAAGAAGCCCTAGTCGGGCAAATTCAGCAGGCTCAATGTAACCCATGTGAAGAGTATGAATTGAGAATCGCAATATAAAAATAGGATCGTAAATCTGAACAACATCCATTCTTTGAGATGTTACCTGCCAACCAGAATCAGATGAAGATAGATCAGCGAGGTAGATTTAAATAACATTACTGTGAAAGCACAAAACCTAGAACAACACCCAAAGTTCAGTTGACACTTATTATTCCAGAAATTACCTTGAAACTATCAGCAAAGCTATCCCGTTGAAGCTGTTCCAGTGAGAAAACAGAAGCCCTTGAAGATCTTTTATAGCAATATAGCAAAGATGTCTTTGCACAGAGCTTGGAATCAACAGGTATGTTCTCCCGAAAGAGCGCCCTTCTCCTTTCAGTAATTTCAGCATTCTCTGTGTTATGCGTATCTGATTTTGAAAAATCTAGTTTCAGTTCTTCTCTGAATTTCAGAGCAGAAGTTCCCCACAGATGATCGACTTCAGTAATGGTTCGGCACTCGGGTGACTCTATCTCATTCATAAGGTGAAGTATCTCCAAATCTGTGTCACTAAGGGTTGCGCCATAAACAGACAAAAGCAAGAAAACTAATTCTCTTGACTCACTCAATTGGCTATTATTCTGTTGTCTGCTCTTAATATCATACAGTACCCTTAGTAATCTGATGGTTTCAACTCTTCTCTTTTCTGCAATAGAAATTTCTGTCTTATTTTCTTCCATGAAAGAAGAATCAACTAATTTCAAAATACTTGGAGCTGGCTGTAGCATCCCCCCTGTGGTGTTACAAGCAGATGTATACTCAGAAACTTCATTGCATGTTATTGTCGATACAAAATTGGAGTGACCCAGTATAAGTTCAATAATTTCATCAGCTGAGAACTTTCCTTGTGATAGCACAACAAGAATACATCGAATTGCTTTTATTGTGACAGGATCATTGAATCTATGCAAGAGGGATGATCTGATGAATTGGGCAAGGAAAGGTACTGATTTCAGCTGATTTAGATAGCTTTGAATCTCTGAAGACAGTTCAATGATATTCTTGAGAATTACATATTCCAGAAAACAGATGACCTTTCTTTCCTTGGTAGAGTGTGAGAAGATATTGTCACTCGATGGGAAATTCATGAGTATTCTATCGATAGTTCTGACCAATATGCTAATGAAATTTAGCTTTGCTTTGTGCACTCTCTTGGACTCCCTCTCTGAAGCTACTTCATTGGACAATGATTTTCTAGGAGATAATAACAGTCTAATTAGTGATACCTTCGCGAACAATTCATTAGTAAACTTCATAATGCCATTGCACGAAGTGGGATTAATATCATTAACATCATCAGAATCTAATAGCTCAGATGACTCTGGAATAATTGAACTAACTATTTCCAAGCGTTGTTTCCATGAAATTTCTTTCGATGCAAAGTAGTAGTGCAACATCGTAACTGACTTCCCCAAGAGAGTGTTACTGAAATAAACCATTATATCTTCAACTGATGTGGGTATAAAGTCCATAAAATCTTCCTCAAAAATGCTCCGGGTAACAAAGCTTTTCCAACTTGAAAACCCTTTATCACATAATAGTAGTTCAGAATAAAAGATTGGAACTGGTTCAAGGAATTCAGCACACTGCCTATTGTCATGGCTGTGAAACTTCAAGCATGATAAAGCAGCAGGCAACAGAAGTATAGCACCATCTTCTTGAGCCAAAGTGTTAGAATCAGAATCCTTGACTTGCAAAAGAGAAGTGTCTTTATTTAAAATTTCCAAGAATATCTGGCTAAAAAGGTTCAGATGCATAGGACTTGCTTCCAAAAGCAACAGGATTGCTTTTGCTTTAACCTTAGATGTGCGAAAGATGCAGTGATGAAGAATGTCAATGGGAGTATTGATGGCCATTGTAGATAATATCATATGGAATGCAATATAGTCAGTGTTCCATCCTGCACATCTTTCTGTGTGATGAATACGACACAGCATCTTCAGCAAGCAATGATCAGCAAATTCAATATTCCATTTGGTAGCAAAATGAAGAATGATGTGATAGGCTTGCTGAATGGCATTGATATCAGAATTATGAATCTCCAAGTCCCGAAATAGATGGGATTCTGATCTCTGATCAGTTTTTTTGTAGATAACAGCACAGCATTTCCATGGCAACATCAGTAATATATAGGCACATCAAAACAGCAGGAACAAAAGCAGGTGAACTGGAGCTGCAACCGTCCAATTTTGAGAACATCCAATTTGCAAGGTCCAGGAGTTTGACAGGAGAAAAGAATTTTGACAGTGTGCGAACCATGTAGAAATTTGGCAAAAGCAATCCAAAGTTTACTTTGTCCATGCAGAGCTCAAACTTCTCCTTGAACAGCAATATTATGTTCTCCAGCAGAAGATTTGGAGCAGCAAACAGTGACTCATGGGATGGGCCATTATCGGAAGAGTAGTTACCTCCATAGCTACCAAACATTAGCAAAAGGTCATACAATTTACCCAAAAGGTTTAGAACAAAACGATCTATAAGGTGCAGATTTTCCTTCGCAAAAATAGCCAAAGCTTCTTCCAGATGTTCCAAACTCCCATCTGCTAAATTTTGGCAATTGGATAAAGAGCATGACAAAGACAGGGTAATAACAGGATGCCGAAGAACAGAATCAACAATGTCTTGGATACATTGAACTGGATAGGATGGGTATATAGATTTTGACTGTGAAAGGTCAGCAGTCAAAACTTGAATACGCTCGAATACTCTATCAAGAAGACCAAAGCACAAATGGCATGGTTGCTCAAGATTATTTGAATTTGAATCCTTAATAGTATATGATGACAGTAGGTGATGAGTCCAGAACAAGATGACTCTCAGATACAAGGTAAGCTCACTGAATGTGCAATCAGACAATTTAACTTCAAGAAGTCTTAGAAGTGCATCCTTATGTGCTTCCCTGATTTCATCTGGCGAAGAAAATGCAAGGCACAATACTGAAGGTAAAAGCGCACAGAAGGGACTGACACTTAAAAATGTACTTAGCGGAGCTGATTCTGTTGAAACAGAGAGGTTCTGCCATTCGTCCTCAACTGTGTTTACATGGTCAACACTGATATCATCCTTGAACAGTCTGATGCTGCTGAAGAATATATCTGGCCAACAACTAGCAACTTTAGCCAGATAATCATGTTGCAGAAAAAGAACCGAGGACAAGAAAGCAACATGAGATGGAAAACGTGTTTTCACAACATCAAGAAGATCTGGAAAGGCACTGATAACATCTTTTGGAGGTGCACATATGATTGAAAATAAGAATGCAGTTGCTACATCATCCAGCGAATTAGTTTGCTCTTGATTCAACATTTCTTCAACCTGTCTAGATACAGAGCACAACGAGTTACCATCAAACTCAGGAGAATGTTCCGGCATGTTGAACAGGCTATAATTTTGTTGGTCAGAAATTCTCCTCAAGAAATGCAGCATATTTGTTAATGGCCTCCACTCAGCAAGATAAATCCTAGAGTTCAGTTCTTGGGATGAAAATTTATCAAATCTTTCATTTAGAACAGTACGTATAAGATCGGGCAATAAATGCACGTCCACCTGTTAGAATCAGCAGTCTAGTCAATTCATCATGCAAATCTGGTAAAAATATTATAGACAATATAGGGAATGTCTAATATACCTGAGACTGAAGAATAAGGTGGATCGTGTTGCACACATACAATGAAATTGTGGACTTCTCGTGTAACTTTGTACTTCCAGACTCTATGTCGAGTAGCCTAAGGCATTTCTGAAGAACACAAATAATCAGAGGGCTGAAAGCTGGAGAACAGCCTACAAACCACAACAGAAAAGGTTGAGATACAGATGAAGTTGAATCTCATCAGGCAATATTTAAATAGTAGAAGTGAAAAGAGTGAGAAGCATCAACAAGATGAGTCAGTGATTCATAGTCAAAGAAGAAATGCAACATGTACAGTGTTTATGACAAGAAAGTGTTATGGAGTGATTTTAGGATGAAGCACATAAATTGAAATCCAAAAGGAAAAAACTGACTGGAATTAAACAAATGATAACATGGCAGAGCATTTAAACAAATAAGTTGCTAACATGGCCAGATGATACTATGGAAGGCTATACCCTCTCAAACCTTGTAAGTTTTTTTTTAATTGCCTATTCTTGAGTCTTGACATTCCATTTGGCATACTACTGTTCTACAGCATGAGGCAATACAGCTGATATGATGGAACATAGACAAGATAAACAGCTTAGCTTGAGCAGATACTTGACATACGATTAATATTAATTTTACGAAAGAGCAACTACTGATCTATTAACATTTCACAAAGAATGTAATACCTTCCAACTGGCCTGATTTAGAGATAAGCTTGCGTGTGTGCTCTTGGTATTTATATAGGTTGTTACCAACTACCGAAATAGCATCACACAGAAAAGGGATCACAATGTGTGATAATTTATTAGGTGCTCCAACTCTTAGGTTCTCTCTTACACACCATTTGGACTCATAACCAGGCAAGAAAACCAACCATGCATCAATCTCTGTGAAGTTATGATCAAATGCACCAGAACTTGCCATAGCAGCTTTAACTAAAATATATGCTTGATCACGGATGTTCTTAATCTGTGAATGCAACATGATATAAACCATGGGTTGCAGATACTTGTACATTGATTCTGGAGCTCTTTCTGGGTCCAAATATCCTCTAGATTGGCCTGAATACTCAAGTAAAAGAGATAACAGGGATTGCTGCTCATCCAAGGACAGATCCAATGGGTTAGGTGGTATAATCTTAAAGAAGTCATATGATCCATCAAAAGAGCTGGGCATCACCCCCTGAAAGAAAATTAGATGTTGAAAATATTAATGCTATAAACTGCTAATGAATCCCATCGATTATAGAAGTAGAGACTAGGGACATGCACCCAAAAAAATCAGGTCAAGGTCAGAAGAATTAAGAACATCCAGCAAGTGCACACAGAGCATTGAATTTAGGTGTACCTACCAAATAAAGCCTGAGAACATCCAGCAACTTCGAGTGGAAGACATGTTCTACAACATTTGCATCTTTCAGCTTCGGATCTTGTTTATCTAAGCTCCATATCTCACACAAGGAGGTTGTGCGGTCATTTTTTAAGTCCAGGTCTTGTTCTTCAGATGCGTCCTTATCCTGCTCAACATCAATGCCACCAATAATAATATCATCAACCTCACAGGAAGGACTGCATCTTCGTTTCTTTTGAGGAGGCTCAGAAAGTTGAGCATTTTTCTTTCGTATGCTCTGAGAGTGATTTTGATGTTTCTGGCTGGTAGAAGAGAGTAACTTGAGAAGGACTTGAGGATCAGGCATAGCTCCATGAACTTCATCTTGGATGTATTCTCTTAGAGATGTCCACCTCTTGACCTGCATTTCATCTCCCTGGTGAACCTCATCAACTAAGGATGCATCTGTACCATCAGAACAGCTTAATACTGGGAAATCATCTATTTTCATGGTTACTTTCTCTGAGCCAATGAATTCTGACTTCAGTCTCCCTTCTGATACCATGCAATTGATGGCTTCGATAATATAACAAAGCAGGTTAACTGATTCAAAAACAAGCCTCAGAGAACCATGCTTCACAAGATCATCAGAATGCAGCAATCCCCTATTTATCATTGCTCGAGAGCATACATTGGGCACGATGCACTTCAAGACTACCTGAACTTCTTCATCATCTACAGATACCAGACCATGTGAATTGGATGAAAGAGTTTGAACAATGCTATCACATTTTGCTGAAGCTATGACATCAGCTGCAAGGGAGATGGCTGAAAACCTGCAAATAATAATTTGACCAGCATGAGTATATTGCACTGCAAAAATAAACAGATAAATGCTCAGAACTAACCATGAAGGAGACGACCGTGGTTCAATATTGTAAGGAAACTCATTCATGTACGCCGAACAAAGAGACAGCCTATTACTCACAATGGCCAGCAACAATTTTTTGTGGTGAGCAACCTCAGTAGCTTTCAACTTTTTCATGAGATCTAGCAAGCGTTTCTCATTACCTCTCAAGTTTGATCCTGGCATCAATCCATTTTTCGGATCAGTGCACACCATGACCAATACCTCATGAGCAATGTCAGCTGCTTCCCCTGCATCAAGATTCCCTGAGATCAAGCTCAGCTGCTCCAATGTGACACTTCCAAAGAGGACACTCCTGAGCCCTGGTGGGACAAGTGACTCATCTACCAGGACATTGTCTCGCAGTGTTGAGAGGACGTACATGACGGTCTCAGCATCATCATTTCCAATCCCACGAAGAACTCCTGAATATACCTCCTTCTGTTGAAGGATCCATCTTAGCAGCCTTGGATTCCCAACCTCCAAAAACGACATGGCAAACCCAATAAATGACCGCCTTGTGGACCCAAATTCAGCACCCTTCCGCCGATTCCCTCCATCCCTGCTCCCTTTCTTCTTCATCGTCCCAGCGAGCTGCGACAAAATAGCCATCTTGAAATCAAATCTCTCAGCTACCTCCGACGCCAAACCCCCTCCACGCCTGACAATTGCAGCAAGCAAATCCAGCGCGGCATTCTGCCGTCGGAACTCGCCACTGTTCAGCTCCAGATACATCCCCATCTTCTCCTTATCCTCCAGTATCATCCTAGCGACACTGTCCAAGCTCTTCTTAACCGAACCATGTCGCCGCAGCTTACCATCAGGGTGGCCCAGGACGGCCGCAAAGAGGGAAAGTATGTACGCCATCCCTGGCTTCTCTCGGTGGAGCCACCACGCCTCGATCAGCTCCCTGAGCTGCGGCGACTGCTGCACGTACTCCTGTAGCACCTCCCCGCCGGACTCACCATCCAGTAGTCCTATGAACTCCTTGGACGCGTCTGAGTAGATTTTGACCTCCGAGGTGTGGAGATTCTTGAGGATGTGCACCAACCTGACCTTGTGGGCAACCGCGAACGGCTGCGTCCAGGCGTCCATCCCTACCCTCACTAGAAAATTTTGCTCCTGCTTGGGCGGCTCCACCACAGGGGAGGCCATGATGCCGTCGTCGCTCATGGAGTTTACGCTGAACCACCAAAAGCTTGTGCCAAATAAAACTGCACCAGCACTTTGGATCGCAACTCCAATGTATGCCGCGCGCGTTGAATAAGTAGAAGAACCTTGGGGGGGGAGGAAACAGCGGCCTAGGGTTTATCAGCAACAAGAGAAATCAATCCCCAAGTGCGAATGGAAATCCACTCCACGCCAGCTCATACCAGTATAGGAGCGGAGGGCGGCGAAAGACGAAGACGAAGAGGAGCGAAGCGTTGCTTCGGTGCGGACCGCTTGCTTCAGTGGAGTGGAAGCCTGCAAGGAGAGCGGCGGTGGTTTCGGCGGCGCGGGCGCGCGCTGGGGAAGAAGACGACGGACGGCGTCGCGGGGATGCTTTCCTTTGGGGTTTTAGTGGCAGGCCGGGCCATGATTTGGGCCGAATATTGCACGATTTGCAAGGCCAGGGCTGGAGTTGTAGCGAAGGCCCATACCTGGACCGACAGGCTCAAGCGCATCTGCGAGTTGAAGCTGCACGCTAGCGTTGACGCGGAGACGGTGGCGAGCACGCTTGCTCTGGCGGAGTGCCACAACTGCCGCAGGCTTCGAGATGTTTGCCTCAAACCTCAAGCATGCTGAACTTGAAGGCGGCTTGCCACTTTGTCGGGAGACCACCGTATCGTGTTATTACGATGTATTGATATTTTTTTATCTCACCTCTCCTGTATTTCACATGTCTGATTTTTTTTTGTTCAGACAACATATAAATCTTGTTATTGTTTGACTATGTATAGAAAAAAAATTGTAAATTGTCTCCTATGAGTTTTTATTTTAATTTTATTAGTTAAGTTGTCTAAGATTTATGTCTAAAAATTCAGACACCTAAAATATCAACTCTCTTTTTATTTTGAATAATTATTACTCCCTCTGTCCCAGAAGGAATGGTGTTCTAGGAATTTTCAGACAGATTAAGGGCGGATGAAAAGACGCATGTGCCCTTAATTAGTTGAGTTGCATGTACAAGGTAGAGAAAATATATTTCCATTTAATCATGTATGCACGAGATTAACGCGCCAGATTATGCATGCATGAGGTTTGAATCCCATAACATCATTCTTTTCGGGACAAATTTTGAATCCTAGAACATCATTCTTTTTTGGGACGGAGGGAGTAGATATATTATAAGCTCATGTATGTTTGTTTTATGTGTTATTATATACTAATTGTTGGAATAAAATTAAGCATGTCCCACCAAGCTAATGATCATTGAATTCCATTTGGTCAATGTCGATTCCAAATCTTTCTGTTCAAAAACACGAAAAATGCATCTAGTGAGCCTACGATTATGCTGAGAGAAATTGACGAGATAGAGAGGTGAACACAGTGAAGGAGTGGCCTGGGATTGAGAAACTCTTTGATGATACTTTTATATGCTTGCCAAGATAACTGGTTTGTATAACTTTTGTATATGCGTGTAATAACTCATAGATTTTCCTTGTGATTTATTTCTTGTTGATTAACATGGAAACATCCAGTTGTAATGTTAATTGAATTATGGTATGTTACTATAAATAACGAAAACCATTACATGTTACTATTATTAGTACCTCTTTGCACATTCTCCCGTCTGTATTAGATCATTTATCTATCTTTCAGTATCTTTTGATAGATATAAACCATTTCAATAGATTTTATAGGATCAATGTGATAGCTTTTAGCCCCTTTGAGAACAAAAGAGATGACTTTTTAATTTGTCTTATAGTTACCCTTTCTCTTTACGGAAATACTTCGACACGGGCGTCCGTCCGCCCACGTCCGTTCATACTCGGCTTCCCACTCCGCCTCGTCCGCTTCTCTCGAGAAAAAAATCTATCCCGCTCCGTCTCGCCCTCCCCGTCTCTCGATCTCTCTTGTGTCCGCTAGCCGCAGCAGAGCCCCGTGCCGCCACCACTACCTTCTTCCTCCACCCAGGCTGACCACGCTGCCTACTCCCTCAATTCGTGCAGTGCCTCCCCAGCCTCTTCCCCAACACAGCGCCATCGGGATGCCTCGCGCTCCGCGGGCCACCGCTTCCCTTGCCGATGGCGGCTGGGCGCACGTGCCAGGGCGCCTCAGGTCGGCCCCGATTGAGCCAAGGGGCACCCACGAGCGCGGCTGGTGCTGGTGGTGCTCGCACACCGGCTCTCGCCATTGGCTGTAACACCTCGGGTGTTTAAAATACTAAAACCTGACATGTCATCATATGCATTGCAAAGCATTTGGCATTTGGTGAAAACTTTGAGATGCATACACTAAAACAAGTTTATATTCATGTGGTATGTGTTGAATTGTATTAGTTGACTCTAGTTCAAAGTTTGTTTGGATTTTGAATTTTTGGAGAAAACCCCTCTTTTCAGCATTTAAATCCTACCCTGAAAATCCATTTCAAAATCTAATCATAATTTGGGGTTGATCCCAAAAGCAAAAGTGTAGAGCTTGGTAAGTTATGCAAAGTTTGTTTTTGGAGTTTTTCAAGTTGTTTAGAAAAATTTAAGAGTAATTTGTGAATTTTGGCGTATGGCAATTTTGTAATTTCTGTGAACAGTGTTCACCGCCTAAGCTTACATTGCCGTCGGACCTTCTTGGCGTTCGGTAGCGTCGTGGCCGTCCTTGATGTCGCTATTTGCACGGAAATGGCTCCGTCGTGGCTTCCTTGAGCTTCTGCGCCGCTTATAAGTACCAAGGCGTCGTCATCGTCGTTTTTCTTCTTCCTTTGTTTTCACCACCGCCGTTGTCATCGCTCCAACAAGCTCATGATCGTCTCCCCGGTATTTGTTGCCATCTCGGTAAAAAGGCCGTCCTAGTTAAAATCTTTTCCTTGCGAATCCAACCACTAACCATGGTACTTTGAAATTGCCGAGAACTCATTTGTCCACGTTTTTCTTCCTCGAGGTCAAGAACTTCACCGCTGCTTGGGCGTGTCATCGTGGCTGAGAGCCCTTCGGTGAGCCGTTATGCATAATCGGTGTACTTACGGCTTTATTTCGATGCTGTAGTACTTAGTCAGTTGTTGTTTACTCATTTTGATCACTGCAGTCGTCGGTTCTCCTTCACCGATGATCTTTGCTTCGGATAGTTCACCGTAGTGGTCGGATAGTTCACCGTAGTGGTCGGAGAGTTCACCAAAGTGATCGGTGCTGGCGTGGTCACATCAGTTATGAATATGGTTTGGTTAGTTTGGTTTGTAATCAGTCTTTGCGAAGGAAAATTGTATCAATTTATTAATTTTGCATCCATCATCGAGCATCATGTTTCATATTCCGCATCATGTTAAACATGGCAATGTTACTACGTGTAGTAAACGAAGGTGAACACGTGGTAGTTAATCAAGTTGCGGAGGAGGTTGATCTGTCTGTTGAGGTCGGATCAAAGACTTGTGAAACGTCGTAGGAGCCGGACTTTTCCGTCAACGAAGGCAAGCCCCGGATGCATACAACCCTACCTTGTGTTTTACAAATTAATTTCGCTTTTGCTTTCCGTTATTGCATTAAGTGATTAAAAGTTAAGTAAGAGCCTAATTGGTGCATTACCACCCTTGTTATTCCATATTTACCATATTACCAGCTTTTGAACTCAGTATATGCCTAGTTTTGCTTAGCTATCGTAGAAACGATGAAGTCGGTGACTACCTGCCACCTGCAAGTTTTAAATGGAACATTGGTTAATTATGTTAGCATGTGATATGGGAATGTGGAGTAATAAATCTAGGCCGGGCGGACTCGATGTGTGTGAGCCACAAGACATGGAGGTCTTGTGGCGGGATCTTTCACGCACAATGTCGATTAAGGCACGTCCGTTGTTGAATTGCATGAGGTGAGAATTTGTAGTACTAACCACATACTCAGTAAGCTTTGAACTTGGCAATTCTATTACGAGAATGGCTACTCGCGACTTTGGGAGTGGAGAGATGGCGGAATAGCGTGTACCCACGTGGCAATGGGTTGGATTGGTGGAGTCTTTTGTATTCTCGGGTGGCGCGGACCCATTCTTGTTTTAGAGGATCCGAGAATAGGTTGGTATATGTAAGTCGAGGGACTGCGCATATGTCGTGTGGTATGGAATCCCAGCTAGGTTTATAATCGGTTCGAATCGTCGTTGCTCCTCGGTTATGGAGACTCAACTCTTTGTTCATCATCGTAGTAATTAATAACTGGAACTTGAGAATGGTTGATGAAGGTGTTGGATATGAAGTTTCATGATCTCATTACGGATCGTGTCATCTTTGTATATGATTTTATGAAGTTTAAGCTGTTGAAACAAAGAATTTTGTCAAAGAGCTTTTACATAAAATAACTTTGATTATTGCTAAAACCATACCTTGAATCATCGAGCTGCATTCCCGAGTTATCAGTTCTTATTTCGGTTAAGTCTTGTTGAGTACTTTTGTACTCGAGGGGTTCGTTGACCCTTGTTGCAGGTGAGCCTCATGAGCAGATCTCATTTTGGATCGTCTTTGCATGATGATTGTACCTTGTGATGACGTTGAGAAGTAATTGTGTGGCCCTTGGGCGTAAGGCAGCCTCATTGTGTGTTTTGTATTATATTATAATGCCGCTCCACTACTTTGGTTTGTATTAATATCGAACTTAGTTATACGGTTTGAAACAAATGGTTTGTAAACTATGTTATTGTAAGTCTTGGCTACTTTTACTACGATGTGTCTATTTGAATAAACTGTTGTAATACTATAATGACTCATAGCGTGATCTGCTTTCGGAAATCGTGGATGATTCGGGGTTCCCGAGAACACCCGACAGACTTCTTAAGTTACGGGAACATATGCATTGTTGTCAATGGTCTTTGGACGGTGACAAATGTATGTGGGTCCTATAATTTAGGAGGTTCTGCCACAGAATGGTATCAGAGCAATCGTTACAAAGTTTTTGTGGTATTGGTTTACAAAAACTTCAAAATGATTTGGGATGACTAAATTTAACTTGATTAATTTGGTCCAAATTGCTTCTGACTTATTTTATTTCTTTCTCACC